GTTATGATTTTTTTTTACACCGGAGTTGAGTAAAATGAGTACATTACAAAAAACATTTTTCAGAAGTTTTTTGAGTATGCAATTTTGTAGCTCATTAAATTTTAGTAAAATAAAGTGCACGTTTCAACCGATTGCAAAAGCGGCGTTATTTTTTTTTTTTGTTTTCTTTGAAAACCGTTTTGCTCATTTTCTTCCATAAGAGAAAGACCAAAAAGCCGTCAGCATAAAAAATATTAAAAATCAACGCAATTTTGCAGTAGCTTAAAATTTGCACTAAAAAAAATTTAAAAAATTTATAAATTTGTAATGTACTCATTATACTCAACTTCGGTGTAAGAAAAAAATCATAGCTCAAATTATTGTAGAGTGCACCCCATAATACTATACTTAGATATTGCGCAATACTTAAAGCTACCATTGTGATTTGTTTAGTTATTGTGTTATTGTTTTTTCAAATTAATACTTGCATATGTATGTACAAATTTGTACAAATAAAATACAAATATAAACACTCGTCACACTTATTTGAAGCATCTATGATTAGGAATAAATTTATAGAAAAATGTGGTCCACTATTTTGAACTAAAATTCTTTTGCTACGAATCCGATCATTTCAGATTGGGACCGAATTTTGAATTTAAATAATCTATATAAAAGTTTTTGGTGAAAAGGAGAAAATTATACAATATGGTCCGAATATTGGATCGGCTATTTTGAATTTCAGAAATCTGGCATCAGATTCAAAATTAGCGACCTTGAAAACCTGGCATTTGTACGACTTTGTGGTGAAAAGGAAAAAATTAGAAAATTTGGACTCCATATTGGATCCGCCACTTTAAATTCTACATCGGATTCGAAATCAGCGACCACAAAGACCCCCAAACAGTATGCCTCACTCTCCCCATTTCTCTAGCGCAATATGGTTCATTTTACCAAAATCAAAAGAAATGTTAATTGCGCCTTTTTTTTTAATTTCAGCGACGATGTGAGATAGGGCCTTTCCATATTAAAGTTACGATAGGTATGTAAACGGTGAGCTTGGATAAGGCTTAACCAGGAGTACTCGCCCATCAAGATCTTCTCCAATTTTCTTATTCTGCCATCATAACCAAATGATTTGAGATAAAAATGAAAATTTTCTAAGGATTCGAAAGATATCTTGATTATCCTTAATTTTTCGTAGGATAACTTTTCTAATTAAGTTAAAAACCATCCTACAGTAAAAGTTGTGGACTAAAAATCGTCGACTAATTATCTATCACAAATAATATTAATTTAACTTTGCTGTAAGAATAATTAGCTTGAGCTTTAAAGTTTGCAAAAGCCGCGAAAACCCAAGCTTTTCACAAGTCTTTGTAATGAGCTACTATACTTTTTATTCAGACTGTAATTGCTATTATATTCGTTTTAACCCTTGTGAAAATCCCCGCAAGTACTAGTGTTTAAACCGTCTTTGTATATGTATTTGGTTATGATGACAGAATTTGAGTTTGGAGAAAATTTTGATAGGGAAGCACTTTGGGTTGAACGCTATCTTTACTCCAACACCGCATATGGGGTCTTGTTCTTGCAAACATATCTATTATCACCTGACTTATAAATATTTACTTATACATGCACTTAACAGCAAAAGTCTGCATACACCATTTCTGTTTTAAATATGCACAATATTTGGCAAGCTAAAATTTTTTTGTTATATTTTTTCTTTAAAATATGGATCATGCTTAAAACAAAATCATATAAATCAGGTTTCAAGCTCTTTACAAAATTAAGGAAAATTCAACAAATTTTCATCAAAATTTTTAACTTTTTAAACAGATTTTTTATATTTTATACCAAACATACAGTTTTGTAACCCATTAAATTTTAATATAATAATGTATAAAAATTAAGTGGCTATAAAACTGTGTACTTGATGTTAAAAAAAAAATGGATTAAAAATTTGAAATTTTTGAAGAAAATTTGTTGAATTTTCCTTAATTTTGTATAAAGTTTGAAAGCTTGGTTTATATGGCATTTTTTTAGCATAAACAAAAAATGTAAGCTTGCAAAATATTGTGAACATTTAAAAAAGAAATAGTGTATGCAGACTTTTGCTGTTAAGCGTATATTCCCCGAACTTGAAAGTTTCCAGCGAAATCATAAGAGACGTTCTTAGATATGATAAAAGAAGGAATGGTTGTATTGGAATGAATGTCCAAAGATACAAAATTTTTACATACTTGCGTACATTTTTCAAATTATTCACAAAATTATTAAACATTTTACAAGTAAATCCATCCTCTATTTAAAGAGAATTTTAACAAAATTTAATTGAATTTGATAAAAAAAACAAAATCGCTATTTTCGAAAACGAGTTTTGAAGCCATATTTTTTAAGAATTTGACTTCTTACTTGGAGCTGGATTTTTTACTATTCAGATTCATATATAACCCATTTTGGTGAGTGGAACTGTACCTAAATATGCCTATGCACCGATTGGATTAAGTAAAACGCTGTTTAACAAACAAGTAATGTAAAATGCAATAACTTTTTTAAAGTTTCGAAATTACTTTTACACTAGTTAAGTGACACTACCGCAATCAGCACTGCCTTTCACCCAATCAGCATTGCATTGCAGTTAACCGATGGCGAGTTCACTGAGACGAGGGCACCTGCATTTTAGTGGTTAACACGTTGATGGCAAATATATAGATACATACATATGTATGTATGTAGGTATATAACAAGCTAACTGAAAACTTCATGCGGTTCCGTGGACAAGAAACGAGTGACAAGCAAAGCTCGTTCGACATCAGCAATCAACGGCATCACCACCAACTAAGCAATAACAATTTACTCGTTGCGATTGTTGCTAGGCGTACAGTGTCTTGATTTTCCTTTAGCGAAGCATTTAGTTATAATATTTTATGCATTCACAGAGGTGTTGGAAAAATCATAAAAATTTGTTATATTATGACTATTTTTCAATCTTTCACTAAATTGCTTACTTAAATATATTTAAAAATCTAATTTTATGATCAACTTTCAAAAGAAAATGAGTAATTACTTCAACTTATTATTAACTGCCGCTGGCACAGGCATTTTAAGTGAAAAACAATTTTATCTCCTCAGTCAGTTTCTATACAAAATTTAAAAAAAAAAAAACAGTTTTCATCTAAATTTCTTTCGAAAAACTGCATATATGGACGAAATTGAAGAAAAAAAATCGTTTCTCCTTAATCACCCAGATTTTGCACACTGTTCCCTATGATACGCTTTTTATAAACCTCTACACATTTTGGACACAGTTTGTGATATTCTGGTTGTTGCTGTTGGCTTTTGTGCAAAATGAACTGCTTTGCAATTGTCCTTTCGTAGTGTCGTTTGTTGTCACCATAGAAGGCAGCGGGAACAAACTGCTGACAACAGACTAAGAGACGAAGAAGATTCGACACCATAATGGAAGATAGAAAAATTATAGAAGAAGAAATTGTCTGCAACTTTGATGACAACGACAGCCGCAACAATCAATAAAAAGCAAACACAACAAAAAAAAAAATAATAAAAAATAGAAATAGTGCTATGCGCATTGCATGCAGAAGTAGATTTCGAGTTGTGTTCCAAAAAGCTGCATCGATGAGAAACAACACAGCGCGCAATCATCAGTTGAGCGAGATGGAAGCGAAGAAAACGCACTATCAATTGGCAAATGGAATGATATAATAAATATGGCTATATAAACACCTGAGTTTATTAAAGAAGACTTTCGTAAAGCAGTGGTTTCGCAGTACGTAGTTTGGAACTACCTCCTAAGTAGTAAAAACTAGATATAAAGAGGAGGAGAGGCAGCTCCTTTGACCACCGACGGTCGAACACTAGTCAGAGAAGCCAGACATGTTGTGGGTTATAGGCAGCAGTCTGTGATATTACTTGAGGCAAATTCCTCTAAGGGCTCACCGCGGAATTCAAAACACTTCTCATCTCAAACTGTCTGAGCTGCCTTAACAATCCGGGCGGGCAGTTGTATGTAGCTCCAGCAACACAAAAGTCTGGCCAGCTATGAGATGTCTTATTATGTTGCCAGAACACCATCTACATATCGAGGCGCAAATGCTCCCAGTAGGGGAATAAAGCATTACGGTAAACAGTTGGTAACTGTTCGGCTACTCAGGCACTTGCTAAAAGCAGAACCCCCACCTAGGCACCTACGAACTAAAGGACGAAATCCTGGGCTATGCCATATAGGCGTTCACGAATCAGTCGGGTCTACGTAACCAGAACGACCAAGATTTATATCGCGCCAAAAACTGTCACTCCAAAATCATTCCCCAAAAACTCTTTGGGGAATTTGTATGCCGTCACAACAACAAAAACAGCAACGTCGTATAGGCCCCCTATTGAATAGAAAGAGGTTTTGCTCAATTTTCTCTGGCACAATGACGACCTGGGTGCTGTAGCAGACTTAACTGCTACTTTTTCAGACTTGTCTCTGACTTAACCAACGATTGTACCCCTCTTGACACTAGCCACTTCATCACATGGCCTTCAACTAACATCTCTGTCGCTTTCGTCCGAATCCGTCGAAACAACACGTTACCTAAATGTACCATTAGTTGCGCTTAGCGACGACGGTTGAAAGGCAAGCTTATCTTAGCGGGACTTCGTGGTTGCTACAACAACAAGAACAACAACAGCAACAAATCTTTGCTGATGGAAACCGATCACGCCGTCATTCAACTTAGGGCTCTTATCGTTTCTTAGTTTTTAGAATTAATGAAGACCACCCTAAACTTTAGTAAGAAGACTGCCGGCTTTGTTCTTTATAGCGGCAATCCCCGATTAAAATGGACCGCCAGAATATATGTAAATCAGAAAACTTTACCATTAAATTTAAGCTCCTTCCGCGGATAAATTTGTCGTACCTATTCGCCAGATGCAACCCTTCAATTACTCATCTCTCAGAGGCGTGTGGGAGTGAGGAAGACTATCACCCCTATGCTGTAATCCGAAAGTTCGTAGTTACGAATTCGTAGCTCCGTTCCGAAAATTCGAAAATTGGTATGCTGTAATCCGATCGTAACTATCAACGGCGTTACCAACTAAAATAGTGAAATTCGAAGTTCTTAATCAGCTGCTTTGACAGAAACAAATCAAAATAAATATAATCGCAAGTGAACAGTGAAATTAAAAAAAATTGTTTAATCGTATTTGAAAAAGCTTTTCCTTAATTAAGTAAAATTGAATGGATTCAGTGGCCGGTGCACTTTTGTCTCAGGAGGAAGAACATGCTACAGTCAACTGTTGCATTAATATACAAAGGAGATTGATACGAGACAGTTCTGATCCATTTACCTTAAATGATAAATATATGTTCCCGCTTTTTAAGGGCGTCCATTCAACTAAATATTGTGTTGCTTTAAATCTTGCAACGCTTTCCCAAAATTCCACCACATCCTCTTTAACTATTACAAAGCCTCGGGCAATGTCCGGCCTTTCGCTCATGCTTTCCACCAGTTTTTCGTATTGCGAGTGATTTGTTGTGATTGTCGACAAGATAATTTTGTAAACATTTAATAATACATTGGTTTTTATTCACACTTCAACTTAAATACATATTTTTGCGTTTCCACACTTAATTTTGTTGATATTTTAAAAGAATTCGCTTCGCTCCGACACCAGTTGCTCTTCGTAGAAAATTTCCGACAAATACATACAAATTACAGCTACGTCGGATTCAGGCATACCAACGTTACGAATTTCGAAGATGGTCTCCGAATTTCGAAATTGCGATACGGCAACGCGGATTACAGCATACCAATTTTAAGATTCGTAGCAAAATCGAATCTACGACGGATTACAGCATAGGGGTGTATTTTTGAAAATTCGGCGATACTCTTCTTAAGAGATATAGCCGAAATTTCCATTAGCTTAAGGGGCGTTGATATTCCTGACCACTTCGCCGACTTTTCTTTCCTTCTAAGCCTTATTTGGTTCAAGTACGAACATTTACAAAATTATCAAAAGCTTCCCGGTTTTGAAAAATGTTGCAGCCTGCTAACGAAATTTTATTTCTTTCGTTGGATCACCGATACCTTTAACGATATAATTATGGCAACGATATCGATATACCCATGTATCGCTTACAAAAAATTGTAAGACACACTCAATCAAATTATCATCATTAAGAGGAAACTTAAAAAAGGTATCCCTAAAAAGTCAAAATAACATTTTCGCTTACATAGTCCGCTAAGACGTTTAATAACACGTCTTAACTTAAAAGTAATATAATATAAAAGTAATCAAATATGGGCGGGGAAGATTTTTAAAAAGTATTTCTTACACACATACATATGACTTTCTTCATGTATATAACAATTTTACAATAAATTTCGAGTGTGCCAATAAAAATTGTAAAAATGGAATTTTAGTTTCTCAAATCATAGTCATCTGTTATTCAATGCATTTTCTTTTATTTGGTGAAACACTCGTTTTATTACACTAGATTCGTTCATTTTGGCAAGAAGGACACTCTCGCCGTTTAATTTTAACATTTTGAAGTATCTTAAATTATTAAAATTTAAAAAGTCCTATACATTCAAAAATTAGAAAATAACCGCGGCGAATATTCTGCACGCTGGCATTTTGATTTTTTATAATTTGGTGGCACACTCCTGATACTTCACAGATATGTTGTGTTTAATGCCAATGTCAATTGCTTCTAATATGAGCATTATATTTGAAAACTTCAAAAAGTTATTAAAAAAAATATATATATGATTTTTTCAAGTGACAAAGAAAAACTTAGTAATTCCGGCACTTTTTCGTCTAAATAAAATTGGCTAAAATAGTTCAAGAACTTCATTTATTTCTTATTGTACTTGTTTCAGGAACTCCATTGATTGAAATAAATAAATGAAAGAAGACACTAGTGCCGTTCTCACTATGCTTCTGCTAGACTACTCCGATTTATTGCAGGGTTCTTGTACTTGTACAAATATACCTGCACCACATGCGCTGTTGCACTCCAAAGTTATGCGATGCATGCGCACGTACATACATACATACACACATAACTATCGCCAAGCAAGTAAATCGCACAATTTATGGACCGCTGCTGCCGTTGCGTTCATTCCAACGTCGTTCCACTTTAAATGGTCCATCGTCGATTTACGAGCTCCTTAGTTGGCGAAAATTGCCGCCGTTACTTACTTGGCGGCTGTGGCTGGGGCTGGCAATTTCCTTTTGACGCTCAAAATGGGCTCACTAACGATGGGCAGTTAAACTGATACCATTCGTTTCACTTTTCAGTTTGGTAGTTACTTTAATTTTTTATGGCTAAAAAAATGTGTTGCTGATTAGAAGAAAAGTATGGAAGTTATTATGCTGCATTCGAAATGGACTGACAAATAATTGCTTAAATGGAATTCGATCATGCACCTGCAAAATTACATACATACACATTTACATATGAGGCAAACTAGCAATTTACAACAGCTGCAATTATCTATACTTACACCTTACAAAGTTGCTTGGGTGCAGTTTGTACGCGTATTTAAATGCGCATGCGTGTGTAACATTGCTATGTTAAATTGCCGTCATATTACCGATATTTGAAGGCAAATAATAGTTCGGGTTTGTGAATAAATATTTACCGACAGCCATACAACTAATAGTGGCTATTTTAACAGCCTTAGTTGGTGCTCCACACGCAGCTGAATATAGAAATTTAAATCAAAATTATGCATTGGCCAGCACATTCATTTCTCATCGTACGTACATACATATATACATACTTTTTTGATATTCAATGCGCAAACACGCACCGCAAATGCAGGAGAAAATATTTTTATTTCATTACCGCCGTTGTCGCCTCATCCGCGACCGCAGCGCTTCCAACTGAGTTTGTGTTTTTCTTTTTGAAGCCCTGCGGCACTTTGTCAACGCAACGCATACATTTTTTTTTTTTTCTGTGTGCATAGAATCCCAGGAGAACGCTGTGGAAAACCACCGAAGCGAATCCACCAAAAGACACCAGACAATCAAAGTAAAGAAAGCAAAGATGCAGTCGAATAGGTTAGGTACGTGTTCGCCTACAAAAGCGCAGTGTGGTCGCCATACATAGAAGAATTGAAATGCCTGGATGGAAGAGTGCGGCGACGGGGGCAGCAGTAACCTTAGACTAATGTTTATTTTGACTGTTTGCCGGTTGCCGTTTGCCTTGGCTATTTTGTTTCGGCTGTCATCACTTGCACTGCCATTGCCACCAAAACACACAACAGCAACAACAACATCTTTACCCATAGCAACTAAACTCCATTAAAACCACTTTGCTTAACTTGCTCATTGTTGTTGTTGTTGGTTTTGCTGCTGCCGCTGGTGCCTTTGGCGAACGTGCTCATCACGTTTATTTGCCATTTGCAAAAGGCGTTTATGCGCATCTAAAATATGAGTTGTTGTCGCTGTTTTATCCACACTTTTTCACTAAATATGTATAATTGTTGTTGTCATTGTCGCTCTTCGATTTTAATTCTCGGCACGACACCAAGCAGCAAGCAGCACAACAAACAAACGCAACATACATACATATCTATGCAATGTGCAATGGAAAATAGTGAACCGAAATGCAATGCGATAACGCAGTAAACAAATAAATCCATATGCATGTATGTAGGTAGATATGTATGCAATCAGAATATTTAGCAAAACAAAGTGAATGCATTGCGTGAGTTTGCATATATTTTCCGCACGAACTTCAATCCTTTAAAATAGTTAAATTTCATTTTATTCTACAGACGTGGTATGTGTTGCAAGTTCTATGCAAGTGTCTGTGTATGCGTTATTAATATAAGTGGCATTCATGAATCATCGCAAAGCGGCAATTTTTGGCGAAATGGCAACTTTGCAACGCCAGATTGCAAATGCCAATTTTTTTCAAAGCGCTCAGCATAAGTGAAAAAGAAAAGTTTATATAATTATATTTCGAATACTTTTTCTTGAAGTATTCGAGGACAAAACAAATCCAAATGTTTCGCGACTTTGAATTTGCAATGATTTCCAGCTCAAATAATATGGCAATGTGGAAGGAAGTTTTCATACAAATGCGGAGACGGAAAATAGCCGCGCCCTTTTATCAAAGTGCCGGGAATAGTTATTATGCCGATAAAAGTAAATATGAAGATAGAGGAAGAAAGATTAAAATAAAGGTAATTATAGAAAAAGAGATAAAGATAGACACAGAGACTCAATCTGGGAACTCTTTTGGGATTTTAGATATTTTTGTCGATTTTGTTATTGATATTTTTATCGATTTTGTTATCGAAATTATTGTCGATAATGTTATCAATTTTGCTATCGATATTTTCGGAACTTATCGATACAATAATCGAAATTTTTAACGATTTTTTAGTCGGTATTTCAACGATTTTGTTATCGATATTTGTACCGATTTTGTTATCGATATTGTTATCGATTATTTATGGATTTTGTTATCGAAATTTTTTCGATTTTCGATGGGCGTTGGAATCAGGTACAACATATGTTTGAAGTTTCAAGAGTTTACCAAGAAATTAAAAGAAATGACAGCATGCAGAATACATATATATCTGTCGCCGCTATTTTGTAATTTTACGATTTTTTTTTAATTTCGAGTACTTTAGATACTTAAAATTGTTGAAACTAAACAGCGAAGATGTTCTTCTTGCCAAAATCTAGTGTGCCATCAAATGAAAAAAAATTACTTTGTAAAAGACGACTATGATTCGAGAAACTAAACTTCCCTTTTTTAAATTTTTATTTACATGAAGAAAATAATATATGTAATACTATGAAGTATTCTGTATGCATATGTTCATAAGGAATACTGTGTGAAAATCTCCCACGCCAATATTTAATTACATTTATGTTAAGGCGTGCGAATAATGTTGACTACATATGGTGCTCCGGGGCGTATACGTTACATACGCAACTACGCATGAGTGAGAAGTTTTGATTGAAATAGGTACAATTTCGAGAATGTCTTTAGACAAAACTAAAGATAATGCATTTTCTAAGATAGACGTAACAGCATTTTTAACCACAAACACGTTTTTGCCCAAAAATGTAACAACTCGTGAGATTCGCTCTCATACCTAATACTTTGCCAAACCTTACTCGTCTCAAACTCAACCTGACCTTACCTCACCTCAACAAAATTCACCTTAACTCACCTTGTTTCAACTCACATCTACTGAACTCACCTCACTTGAAACTCACTTCATCTCAGCTCAAGGAATTTTATTTTCGAAAATCCCGAAATAGCGTCGGGAATCACGAAAATCCTATACGTCCCGATATTGTCTCATATAACGCGAAATAGTCCAGAAAATCTCGAAAATCCTAAATTAGTCTCGAGAATTACGAAATAGTCCCAAAGACCCGAAATAGTTCAGAAAATCTCGAAATAGTTCAGAAAATATCGATCCTTAACATATAATTTTTTCAAGAGCAAATATTGCGAAATTTCAGGGATAAAATTTTAAAAGGACATTTTCAATACTTGCTATTCCTTATGTACCAAACCATTTAATCTGATTAAATTCTACTGAATTTCCTCTTTAATTTGATACCCATACATCTTTTCTAAGCACATTTCACTGAATTTTTTATATCATTTTTGAGTTACCGACGTCAGAGTGAAAAACTAAAAACGAAATATTATCAATATATCAGGATTTTTGGGACCTAAATTACGATCCCGGGGTCCCGGGATTAGCATTCCTAGCGCTGACATTTTTTCGAATTTAAACATTTAATGCGTAATTTTACGCAACAAATTTTGAATGTAAAAATAAACAGGCAGTGTTTAATTTTATTAGCACGTT